TGTAGAAAGGAGGCATCCTGGCCATGTGGATGTAGCCAGCCATCCTGTTGCTACATCAGATGCTGCAATGGCAGTCTGTTCAGTACAAGTGGCAGTGAAGGAGGGTAAGAGGTGGACAGTGGTAGAGGGTCCATGGTATGGTGGTGGTCAGCTATGTAAACATCTGTCTGTCCCCACACCAGCCTGGGGACTGACCTGGGTTAGAGCCATTCAGCATAGCAGAAGCTTGGACTATGCTATCCTTGCCTGCCTGCTCAGCCCCACTGAAATTAGAGGATCATAAATCAGTTGCGACTAACAAATTGCTTTCAGTTCAGTGAGTCTAGTCTTGCTAGCATCAACATTAAATTTAGTCTAGAAAGAAAACTACTACAAAGAAAAGAGGACAGTACAGAGTTAGAGTATCAGCCCTAAAAACCTGATATTGTCAGATAACTCTGCTGAACCCTACTAGACATGGAACCAAGGGCAATTTTCTTTGATCCACATTTTAAATGTGAAAAAATTAATAATTTCTACTTTTTGGACTAATATGCAAATGGGAACACAATTTCTTTTTTTAATGGTATACATCTGTACATTTTCTAGGGTTGCATATATTAGAGAAGGGTGATACAAAAATGCATGTATTTGGATAAGTTGACAGGAACTGAAATTGAACTCTTTAAAGCACACATGCCATCACTTATCTTTAGTCCCTCTCCTATATTTTGTTGGTGAGAAGACTAAATCTTCAGGAAGGCATAAAATCGTTACAGGAACTGGTTATGAGCTTCTGGTATCAATTGCTGATGTTGATATTAAAATCCAGAGATGATCCAGTATTTGAAAATAATGATGAGGAATTATACCATTCAGGTAAATTCAATTTTAAACACTTCCCAATAGTAAAAAAAAATTATCAAGACTTTGCAAAGCCTGCACAGATAATGTTGCACTACACATACCTATGAATAACCAAAGGTGTCACTTCCAGGTGGCCTGGTCATTAAATTTATTTTAATAAAAAGTAGAACCCTCTGTTATTCAGTCCAATAAGAAATACTTGTCAGAATGTGAAAAGCCATCTGAGTATGCAAAACAGGACAGCTCAGCATGTGCTACAGTGGTTTCAAGAAAAACTCTATACAAAAAAGTGACACCTTTAGTGAGGCAAAGAACAGCCTCATCAAAAGTGACAAAGCTTTATTAGTTAATAGTAGATTATTACTCTTATTTATTTATTTATTTGCTTTATATCCTGTATTTTCCTACACCTTCAGGTGTAATAATGAGCAACAAAAAGGGGGGGACACAGACAAGATGGAAATTTTAATAATGGAGAACATCTTCAAATGCAGGCTTTAAAGATGTACTTTCCCCTAATCATTATCTTTTTAAGAGGAGGATGCATAAAGGGATATAAGCATTGCATTGGAAGTTTGAGCTTTCTGTCTGAGCATTCCTAATAATATTGAACCTGGATCACATTATGGGATATATGGTTTTTTTTAAAAAAGGTTTTTGAGGTTGTGATTGATCAACCAGTTAATCTTCTCATTTTAATCACCAGAGTCAAGAAATAGGAAGAAAAAAATATGAAAACCTAAGTTCTTTAAGATAAAAATCTACAGTAGTTTGTGTTTCCAAAAAAAAGCAAGCTCTTTGTTTTGTTTGTTGCTAAAGTGCTTAAACGTGCCTAGGTCAATTTGGAACAGCTGCTCCTGATTTAATGTTTTGCTTTCAATTATTTCCAATATGTTTTACCTGAAAATGATTTGTTTTAAAGGGTGAAAGGTGGTGGGGATTTTTATCTCTGTGAATGACAGCACTTCATCAGTGGAGCAGCAGTGTATACTCAGGACCCTCCTCCCTTAAAAAAAAATCTGGCACAACTGATATAAAACTGGAAAGGAATGTTTTAGGGAGGGGAAAATATATAAACACATGCGCAGTTCTAATGGCATTCACATATTTGGCATTCTGTCTACCTAGCTTAGCAGATTTCCAGTTGATGCCATGCATAAGTATTGATGGGGTGGGCAACCTAGTGTCTTTCAGATATTTTGGACAGCAGCCCTCCTAAACCCAGAGAACGTAGCCAGTGGTCAAAGAAAAATAAGAGTTGTAGCTTGAAAGATCTGGAGGGAACTAGGTTGTCTCCTACTGCTACAGCTGAACAATAGCTTGATAAGTTCCAAAATCCACATCAGGCAAATGCTGTTATTGTGCCAAACCCAAAGTCACAAAACAATGTGTGAACTTTTGAGTTCTCTGGAATCTTCCACTAGACTGAATGGTGCACACAAAAGGGGACAGGGGGATAAAATGTTGGCTGGTGTTGAAGTTGTACAGTCTGCTTTTAGTTACAGTATTAAGATGGAGCATGGGAGAAAGCTGTAGACATACATATTAGGCTCTGCTAAGTATTGCAATGGTTCTTTTTCACAGAACTTTGCCTAGGCTTGCTGAGATAAAGAAAGAAACAATGACTAATCCACCCCTTCTTGACAATTTAAAAGATAACTTTTACATAACTTTGTCTCTATCTTTAGATGAAATAAACAGATAATATTTGTGATTGACTGACTGATTGATTTGATTTGATTTGATTTATATCCCACCTTTGATTTATATTCCAACCATCTCCCTTGAGACAATATGATGTAGTGGTTGGTATGTTGGACTAGAACACTGAGAGTCCAGGGTTCAAATCCCTGCCCGGTCATGAAAATCCACTGGGTGACCTTGGGCTAGTCACACTCTGAGCTTCAGAGGAAGGCAAGGGCGAACCCCTTCAGAACAAATTTTGCCAAGAAAACCCTGTAATAGATTTGCTTTAGAGTTGCCATAGGTGAGAAATGACTTGAAGGGACACAACAACAGCATCTCTCTTGGCAAAGATTCAAGGTGACTGCAAGCATAACAAATTACACACACACACACACACTAACTGATTACATAAAGACACAAATTAAACTTGTGATATTGGGTCCAAGCTATTTTAGGGATCGCCTCCTCCCATACAATCCTCCCTGCGCTCTCCGGTCCTCTGGGAGGAATCTGCTGCAGCCCCCAAAATCGAGGCTTGCGGCTACCTCCCAGAGGGCTTTTTCTGTTGTCGCCCCCAAACTCTGGAACGGCCTGCCAGACGAGATCCGTCAGCTAACATCGTTAGACAGCTTCAAAAGGGCTGTCAAGATGGATCTCTTTCGGCAGGCCTTTCCAGATTAAAAATTTTCCCCGGCCTCGGATATGCTCACCCCACTGATTCTTACATGGCCCCATCTAAGGATGGTAGGATCATGCCCGCTGGGTCTATATTTGGTTATGTGTGGTTTTATTGAACTAAATTGTTGTTTTGTTTTAATTCTTCATTGATTTAATACTATTTTAAGGGGGGAGGGGTTTTTGGGGATTGGATATTGTATATGTTTTTACGGTTGTAAGCTGCCCTGATTGGGTTACCAAAGGGCGGGATATAAATAAATTTTATTATTATTATTATTATTATTATTATTATTATTAAATTCAAATTAATTTAAAATAATTTCAAACTCCCAATTAATTAATTAAGCCATCAGAAGTCCAGCAAGTACATTTAAAACTCCCATCTGTATCAGGCTGACTGTTCCTGAAGACATGTTTAAATAGAGAAGTCTTTGCCTGCATCCAGTCTAAATCCTCTTGGAGTTGAGTTCCATAGGCTGGGAGCAGTCACTAAGAGGGCCATCCCTCACATCTGCATTAAATGTGTCAATTGAAGATGACAGGTCTGACAAAAGGGCGTCACAGGCTTGTATGGAAAAAAACAGACTTTTGAATAGCCAGAACCCATCATATACTCTGTAGAAGTTGAAAAATAAAACTACACAGTTTTTGTATTACACAGCTGGATATAATTTGAAATGGTGTACCTGGCCAAAATCAAAAGTCAGTAGAAGCCAAACTGGGCAGCCATAGCAAATAGCTGGAAACAATGTGCAGTTCAGAATTAAAACTAGATGACTTAAGATGGCTTGATATATTGTAGTCCTATTCTGGCCTTAGCAAATGTGGTAATTGGGGTTCCAAATTGCATGGACAGAGCCTCCATAAATAGTATAACCCTCCCTATCTACATCAGAGGGCACCCTCTTTGCATATTTACTTAATCTATATTTGATATCGGGACTACACAGAAAACAGCATTTTGTGTACCAGAATTAAAATTATTGCATTGAAATATTATTTTCCATGAAAAAATGCTGTTTCCTATGCAGAAAATGCTACTTTCTATGCATATCAACCATGTGACCATTTTATAAAAAACAAATTCCTAATTAGAACTCATTTCTGCACAGAAAACATTTTCTGTGCAGGAGTTAGTTTTATTGCATTGAAATATCATTTTCCATGCAGAAAATACTGTTTCCTGCACTGAAATTGTGGTTTTCTGCACAAAGCAACCATGTGCATTTTTATTTATTTATTTATTTATTGCCAATTAAGCTCTGAATTGTGAATAGCCTTTGAAAACTATGTGCGTTGCAAAGATTTTCTCACTGCAGGAAGAAAATTGCTGAAATTATTCACTGCTGCCTTCAAGAAGAAACTGAGGCTGCATCCGCAGTGCAGAAATAATCCAGTTTGACACCATTTTAACTGCCATGGCTCAATACTATGGAGTTCTAGGAATTGCAGATTTGTGAGACATTTAACATTCTCTGTTAGAGAGCTCTGGTGCTGCAATAAACTACAATTCATAGAATTCCATAGCATTGAGCCATGGAAGTTATAATGGTGTCAAACTGGATTATTTCTCCATTGCAGATGCTGCCTTAGTGAAAAATTACATCCTTAATCGGAAGCTAGGATGGTTTCCACCTTGCTTTCCATGGCCAGCAAATAAAAACACTTTAAAAAAAATAAGTCTGAAGATTAATTGATGTGGGGGGTTTTAAGGGGCATGTTTTCTTTATTTTCTGTTTTTAAAATTATTTTATGCTTTTTTAAAAAAAATATATAAGGACATTTTGATACAATGTTTTTTTAATTGTGTTTTAATGTTGAATTATTTGCCAGAATCCTATATGGCCTTTTACATATATGTAAATTATGTAACTTTACATATATCTAGCTATGTAGCAATGGTGCTAAGAAAATCCCTTTACTGAATTGTGAAGATACTTAATGGGACACTAACAAGAGTGCTTTATGCACATCAAAACTGAGGTGCATCAGTACAAAATATATACTAGTGAACATCACACACTTTGGTGGCTCTCCCACATAGTAATGTAACAGCAGCTGTCTACTGGATATATATATTGTACAATTTCACCATTCTAATTTCTGCAGATGTAAGGCCATTTATGAAGATGTAGGGACCCAATAGGGTTCTGGTGATAGCATCATAGAGTTAGAAGGGGCCTCAGATGCCATCAAGCCCTTTTTATCAACAGGTTTTTAGTTCTTTATTTTTTAACTTTGTTGTAAGATGACTTGTCATTTGAAATGTGGTGCTCAAGGAAAGTACTGCAGATACCATGAACTGCCAAAAAACAAATAAACAGGTCTTAAAACAAATCAAGAAGATACGGCTCATTAGAAAAAACAATGATGCTTCAAAGCAGAGGCAGTAGGAGGACCTACATGAACTCATACATGCAAACAATACTATGATGAAAGATAGGACTTTGATATCTTCTATGGTAGAGACCAGGGTGCTTTGTGTGCTGTTTGTCTGGCACAAGGTGCCAGAATGCAACATGGGATGAGGCTAGAATCAGAGGCTATCTAAGGTCTAATTGCCCCGTCACATACCTCTCTGGATCTTCATCTGGTTGTTTAGGAGCCAAGTAGGAATTTTCTCTTCTTTTACCTGTCCCCCTCCCCCCCACACACACACACCATACTATGTCTGTGGGACTTGGACATTTAGCTTCAGATGGTGTCATTAATTAGGCTTTCACTTGGCAGGTAGTGAGGGAAAATAGAAATCTTTGGTGAGGTTAACCTGGGATATGGGCTCTTACATATAGAGTCATGGAGCTATGGTGGGAGTCCCCTGAGTCATCTTCCAATTGCTGTCAGACAGGGAGCAACCCAAATATTTGGCTTCCCGTCAGGGCTGAGGTGCTTTGCCAAAGGAAAGGAAGAGGAGGTTATCAAGGGGTTGACAACACATATTAAATAGTTTAGATTAAATAAAGTGGTCTTCATTTAACTCAATTTTCTATGTCTGGTCTATGGTTGCTTATCAAAAGAGGAAGATTGCAATACAGAGATGGATAGTCTCAGTCTAGGAAGCATGGCCCTGAACAGGGCTCTTAATAACATGTGACTTGGAGGTCTGCTATCATAGTCATAGTCACCATAAGTCAATATCAGTTAACAATAACAACACCATAGTTTTTTTGTGGGGTTTTTGGGATGTGAGGCTGTTTTCTAGAAGAATTTATTCCTGATGTTTTGCCTGCATCTGTGATTGGCATCTTCAGAGAATGGTGGCATGGAGTTGTGTGTCACCATTCTCTGCCACCATTCTCTGAAGATGCCAGCCACAGATGCAGGCAAAATGTCAGGAATAAATTTTTCTAGAACACTGCCTCACAATCTGAAAAACCCACAAAAAACTATGGATGCTGGCCATGAAAACCTTCATCTTCACAACAACAAAACCAATTTGGATCTTGCATTGGGAGAAAGGTAGTACATAAATACAATTAACTAATTATTTGAATTCATGAAACCATGTCTCTCCTGCCATTGTATTTTGTTCCTGACCTGTGGCTGCTCATTTTTCTTCTTAAAATGGAGAGGGAAACCACAAAACTGCAAATGTATACCTTGAATGTTAACAATGAAGTTTGGTGTAGCTTATTTAAACAAAGGATTTTTACTAACATGTTACAGACTATGAGTAAAAGTGTGTACTGCCAAAGCTTACACACCATTCAATATATTTCTCTTAATGGGTAAAACATTTCTTAGCTCACCCAGAATTCTTTTGGCTGAAATCCAAGGTATACTGTGAGCTTTCTGTCTCCCCAACTGTCTTCTCTCTCCTGCTTTCGCCATCAGTAAAAACCATAACCTGTGTCAAAAGTTCTGGCACTACTATTAAACTGAGATCTACAGTGAAATGATTATTCCTGAGACATTAAACCAACAACACCCTTGTGTACATATACCCTATGAACAAAACAGGTCATCTATTGTCCAAATTCCTTTGGCAGACTCTCTGTAGATGAAAAGGAAATACAAGAACTTGGGAAGAACATCTGGGAGTTGTTGATGGAATAGCTATCAATCAAAAGATATGTTCAACTCTTCTTTATCATTTTTCTATTCTCCCCACCCCCTCACTTTGGTAAACAACACGAAGTGACTTTGTTAACTGTTAAGAAGCCCTGCTTTGTATTAATGTTATCAAGCACATGAAATATGTCTGGTGGATTTATTCTACTGTAAAAGAACCATCTTCTGTTGTCTCCCTAGGGATTGTACTCCAGCTGTTTAAACTATAATTCCATCACTAGAAGGAGTGGTTGAGGCTGACCTCTACGTAATGTACTCATTGCTGCTCTGCCTGTACATTGTAAATGAAACCTTTTGTAATAATGTTAAAATATGCATGCAGAGGAATGAAAGCAGCAGAGGTCAGCAGCACAGCCTCTTTATGGGGTCAGTGCATGCTCAGAGCAGCTGGCAGATACACACCAGCCACACACAAAAATATACCTA